GACAGAGATTTGTCCTGACTGTGGGCAAGGCAGGAAAACTAAAGCTACACTCAAGGCAAAAGATAAAGAGAAACAGGTTAAGTTTAAAGAGCTAGCCAGAAACGAGCCTAAGCTAGGCCGAGCATTCATAACTAATAAGGAATCTCCATGTCATGATTTGGGAGCTGGTTGGTGGCCAAAAAGAAAAAGCCTGGTACAGAGGTTTAGTTCATTATTATCATGGCAGGAAACATGGCAGCATGTAGGCAGACATGGTGCTGGAGAGGTAGCTGAGAGTTCTACATCTTGATCCACTGGCAGCTGAAAGTGAATGCCACTCTAGGCCTGGCTTGAGAATTCTGAGACCTCAAAGCCCACTCCCAGAGACACACCCCCTCCAACAAGGCCACATCTTCTAATAGTGCCACTCCCTATGGGCCTATGGGGACATTTTTATTCAAACCACCACATTCCACTCCCTGGCCTCCATAGGCTTGTAGTCATATCATAATGCCAAATGTATTTAGTCCAACTTCAAAAGTGCCCATAGTCTAACACATATCAGCACTGTTTAAAAGTCCAAAATTCAAAGTCTCTTCTGAGATTCATACAATCTCTTAACTGTAATCCCCTATAAAATAAAAATCAAAAGACAGATCACATACTTCCAACATATAATGGCAAAGGATATACATTACCATTCCAAAACATAGGGAAAGGAGTATAATGAGGAAATACTGGACCCAAGCAAGACAGAAAGCCAGCTGGGCAAACTCTGCATCTCCATGTCTGATGTCAAAGTGTTCTTCAGATCTCCAGCTCCGTTCAGCTTTGTTGACTGCAGCACACTTCTTCTTGGCCTGGTTCCTCTCCCTGTTAGCAGCTCTCCTCGGCAGGTATCCCATGACGCTGGCATCTTTAACATCTTGGGGTCTCCAAGGCAACCCAGGCTTCACCTTCACAGCTTCACAAAATGGCTTCTCTAGGCCTCCACACAGGGACACTCCAGACACATGCCTGGCCTCAGCAGCTGTCCTTAGTCACAGAGGGAGATTCCACATTCCCTTTCTTCTACCTTTGACTTTAAAGCCAGAACCATGTGGCCGAAGCTGCCAAGTTCTGCTGCTTACTGGGGTTGGAACATGTCCCCCTCATTCAATTGCATCTTCACCAATTTTCTGTTTTCGATAGTTTCCTTCACTGCCTAAGCTTGGCTGTCCTGGAACTCGCTCTGCAGATTAGACTGGCCTCAAAATCAAAGACCTGCCTGCCTCTGCCTCCCTAGAGCTGGGATTAAAGGCGTGGCACCACCACACCTGGCTCTAAGCTTTTCTTTAATTCCTTTTCCCACATTGGAAGCTTAGCTGGGTGGGGCCTTACCCTGAGGTCTCCACTCCCTTTATTCCATTTATCATCATGCTTTTCTTTAATCTGTTTGTCTCCTAGAACACAAGATTTAGCCCCATTCCACCTCCTCATGCCCCTTTTTCCTTGAACTGTACATTTTGTAGTTTTCCTTGCTCAGCTTGCTCCTTTTCATTGTAGATCTCCATAAGAGTGAACACTAATAACCACACGACAGAGTCAATACTAGCCTGCTTTGAAACTTTCTCTGCCAATGTCATTAGTCCAAAACTCTTTAATTTAGCCTCAGGAAAATTTTTTGGACAATGGCAGAAAGCAGCCACATCTTCACCAAAATATGACAAGGACAGTTTCCAGTCCACAAACTAACATTCTTCTCCTCTGAAACCTCTTGACCCAGACCCCCACAATTCAAATCGCCCTCAGTACCATATCATCCATGCTCCTATTAGGATGCCCCACTTAAATCAATCAACTGCTTTTCTAATGTGAGGACCAGAAGTCCACATTCCTCCAAACAAAAGCATGGTCAGGCCTATCGTAGCAATACCCCAGTCCCTGGTACCAACTTCTGTCTTGGGATTTCTATTACTGTGAAGAGACACCACGACCACAGTAACTCTTATAAAGGAAAACATTTAATTGAGGCTGGCTTACAGTTCACAAGTTTAGTCCATTGTCCTTATGGCGGGAAGCATGGCAGCACACAGGCAGACTTGGTGCTGGATAAAGTGCTGAAAATTCTACATCCAGATTGGCAGACATCAGGAAGTGAGCTGTCAATCACTAGGCCTGGCTTGAGCATTCTGAGACCTCAAAGCCCATCTCCTAGTGACACACCCCCTCCAACAAGGCCACATCCCTTAATAGTGCCACATCCTATGGGCCTAGTGGGGGCATCTTTACTCAAAGCACCAGTCTTGCTCCAGGTTTGAGGGAGCGCAGTCCACTGTAGGGAAGGCACAGCAGCAGGAGTGTAGGCAGCAGGTAGCCTTCAGACTGCAGCCAGGAGCAGAGACTGTTGAGTGCTGGTGTTCAGCTCCCTTTCTTCTTATTCAGTTCAGGACCTCAGCCCGTGAGAGGGCGCCACTCACATTTAGGGTGCATCTTCCCACTCAGTTACCCCAATCTGGAAACTCTCTCACAGGCCTGTCCAGAAGTTTGTCTCCTCAGTCTCGTTGAGCCGACCATCAGTACTAACCGTGCACACAGCCACACAAATGTCCACCCACAGAAGCATGTGTGAACAAGTCCACACATACACACACACACACACACACACACACACACACACACACACACACACACACGTGCACACACACACACACACACACACACACACACACACTAAAACAAAAAGAAGTGTCCTGCAGAGACAACCTGTGGGGAATTGGTTCTCAATCAGCACGTCAGCAGATGGAGCGTGAGACCTGTGTAACGTGAGGAGGGAGCTTCATGCAAAAGTCCTATGACGGCCCCACAGGGGTAACGCTGTCAGTTGCGGGTCCTGAAGGTTGGTGTGTGAATCCTGCTGTGTTCACACACACATGATACCTGCTCCTGTGAGCTCTGCGGCTCACCTTCTCAGGAGGCTGAAGGGTTACTCTGGGAATCCCTTTGTGCTGAATAGTTTTATATTAACTTGATACAAGCTGAAGTCATGTGAGAGGAGAAACCTCAGTTGAGGAAATGCCTCCTTAAGGTCTAAACCTGTTAGGTATTTTAATTAGCGGTTGATGGTGGAGGGCCCAGCCCATGGTAGGGGGTACCATTCCCCAGCTGGTGGTCCTGATTCTATAAGAAAGCAGGTTGAAAAAGCCATAGGGAGCTGGGCGGTGGTGGCGCACGCCTTTAATCCCAGCACTCGGGAGGCAGAGCCAGGCGGATCTCTGTGAGTTCGAGGCCAGCCTGGGCTACCAAGTGAGCTCCAGGAAAGGTGCAAAGCTACGCAGAGAAACCCTGTCTCAAAAAAAAACCAAAAAAAAAAAAAAAAAAAAGCCATAGGGAGCAAGCCAGTAAGCAGCACTCCTCCATGGCCTCTGCATCAGCTCCTGCCTCCAGGTTCCTGCCCTGACTTCCTCCAAGGCTGTGGAAGTGTGAGCCAAGTTAACCCTTTCCTCCCCAGTTTGCTTTTGGTCATGGTGTTTCATCACAGCAATAGTAACCTGAACTAAGACAGGCTTCAACATCACTTCCTAGGGAAAGCCTTCCTGATTAGCTAGTGCTGGGCAGCCTGGAGTTTCCTGTGGTACAAAAAGATCATAGACTGTCTTGGTGTTTGCGTCTGTCTCTGTAGAGCTGATGTCCGAAGACCAGGCTGGGGATCTCTGAGGGCCATGCCTCAGCCAGTCCCAGAGAGTCCTTGTTTTAGAAGACAGCCCCCATGTTAGAAGAGCCTGAGCCCACTGAGAGCTGTGGCTGCTGCTTGTGAGCCAAACCAGCTGAGTCATAACGAAGGCTTGTGGGGCTGAACACTTGAGGGAGCAGCAACAGCCATTTCCAGGTGACCAACTGGAGTCACCTGTGGCGAGGAGAGCTCAGCGGAGGAGTCAGTCTATGAGACTGGCCTGCGGGCATGTCTGGGGGCGGGTATTTCCTTAATTGCTAATTGCTGCAATAAGGTCCAGGCTACTGTGGGCAGGGCCATCCCTAGGCAAGTGGGCCTGGGCTGTATAACAAAAATAGATAAGCAAGCCAGATGTGGCAGGCCAGATGTGGCAAGCCAGTAAGCTGCATTCCTCCATGGTCCCTGCTTCAGTTCCCTGATTCCGCTTGATGATGTAACCGTAAGCCAAATACACCCTTCCCGCCCCCAAGTGGCTTTGGGGACAGGGTTTTCTCATAGAGACAGAAAATGAACTAGAACAGCAGTTCTTGAACCAGGAAGTTGCACTAACTCCACCCTGACCTGTCTGTCCCTGGCTGTGCCACACTCCTGCTCTGGGCAGGTTGTCAATCTTCTCTCGCTCCACGAGATCATGATGATAGGACATGACACCCTGGAAGTTCAGAGCACCCAAGGGTGCCTTAGGAACCATCAGTCATCTTCGAGTTGTCCTGTGTCTATCTCGGAGCCACAGTCCTGGTCCCCGGAGGTGTGGGAGTGCTCTGAGGTCCATGGCCACCAGCCTCTTAGTTAGTGAAGAGCTGACAAACGGACTTGCTCTGGCCATCCAAGCGGCAAATGTTGACACACTCAGAGCAAGTGTCTAAGGCCTGCACTGTGAGCTAACTTCCTAGGACGGTACAGGGAATGAGTCCAGATCCGGGGTGGGTGAGGACAGGGCAGGTACCAGGCTATCGGTGACACCTCAGAGGGGACAGTCACCCTGGACTCATATGGGGGTGAGGTGCAGAGGGGCAGTCCCGGCATTGAAGCAGGTTTTGACACCCTGCCTGTGACCACCGTTGGGGTCCTTGGCTGCATCCACATCCATCTGACCAGCATCACATGGGACCGACTACGGTAAGACGTGGCGAGATCTACCCCATTAGTCTCCCCAACACTGGTCATCCACTTTACGCACAGTAATAAAATGACAGTGGGTAGTTGCATCATGAGTGCTGTGTCTGTGGGGATTCTAGGTCCCGGGCTGTACTGGGATGGCCTCAGCAGCACCTCTCACTGAAGCAGCCACAGCCACGGGGGCTGAAATTGGAGCTGACTTTCAAGGCTTCTCTGGGAATTTAGTGTATAGAAAATGCACACAGCAGGTGCTACATAAGTGCTTGCTGTCCTTGGCAGCAATTCTCACCTGGCTGCACTTGCTCTGGGAAGTGGGACAGGCCTTGACACCTATCTTAGGGTTTCTAATGCAGTGGAGAGACACTATGACCATGGCTACTCTTATAAAGGAAAGCATTTAATGGGGTGGCTTACAGTTTCAGAGGTTTAGTCCATTATCATCATGGCAGGACATGGTGGCACACAGGTAGACATGGTGCTGGAGAAGGAGCTGAGAGTTAATACATCTTGATCCCACAGGCAACAGGAAATGGTCTGAGACACTGGGTGTGGCTTGAGCATATATGAGACCTCAAAGCCCACCCCTACAGTGACACACTTCCTCCACAA